CTGTTTTCCTCTTTCTTCTTCCCTGTGACACCATCTTGCTGTATCAGGAACCGGCCATCTCAAAACAAAGTCCCTTCTCCTTTTTCCAGGACTGTTCTGCTTAAATTCTTGCTTTCAATCATAGGGGTTGTTCCAATTTGCTTTTCACTGCCCAACTTGAGGAGAGTCTCATCACCTTATTGCCCAGCAGACTTAATCAGGATATAACCATGAAGGATACTCCTTCGCTTTAAGCCTCGCTTATGGTCTGCATACAGGCCCTTCGAATTGCAAATGCCCATTTGACTCTCCCCTCTTCGATCCTGGAAGCCCCTATGATCATTGGTTAGACGCTTCTCCAATATTAACACAGTCCTTTTAAAAGCAACAGCTGACATGTAGCACAGTTCTTGCATAGTACCTCGTTTATGCCAACAGGGAACAAAGGCTTAGGACACAGTTTGCAAGAGTCTATGATTATTTCCGGTCAAATGGTTAACCAGCAGCTCTTCCACTTCCTGGAGAAAGCTTGGATATCGCTTGTCGCGCTCACTACATTGTCCGTCACCATTTTTGTTTACTTTTACAAAGTTTGCCAAAGTCCTGAAAACTTGCTTCAACGCTTAACTGTCTCCCCGAATCTCTCCGTATAGTCCATTGCTGCTTTTAAACCTGCCTCCCCTTTCTTCTAGCTCCATAACGCTTATAAACAGTTCTTAGCGGAGGAGAGTCCCCTCTCCCCCCTCGCTTTTCCGGGGGGGAGGGGCTTTTGCTTTGTTGTTTAGTTTCAACTTTACTCACTCTTCATATGTAGATCAAGTAGACCTCGCCAACAGATATGCTTATTTGCCGCTCAACCTCCACTCGCTCGATGGTGTGTGGGTAGCTTAGTCCATGCCGAAACCCCAACAACCCCTAATTCTGAACTTCCTTTCCACTTCCTTTTAATGCATCCCTTTGTTCTGGACAGCAGACTGATAAGCCCAGTTTGGCCTGAGCTCATGAAGGCTTGGGAGCCAAGCAGGGTTGACCATGGTCGGTACTTAGGTGGGAGACTGCCAAGGAAGAGTGGGCTTGTTATGCAGAGGAAGGCAATGGCAAACCACCTCTGCTATGTCGGTCCTGGAACACCCCGTGGAAGCAATCACCATGAACTGGTTGCAACTCAGTGGCACATGCTTCTTAATTAGGGACAAATTTCCTCTTTTGACATTCAATGCAACTAAACTGGAATTTCTGGGAAACTTTCTGCTTACATATATGCTGGATTTAATAGCATTGTGTCCCCACTTGAACCTCACACCAGGTAGTGAGCACTACTCACTTTAACTGAGTTAAAAGAAATCTAAATTTTTGTCATGACCTGAGTGTCATCAAACCAGTCAAGGGGAGGGGAGCTGAAATCCTTCATTATTATGAACATTTTCTATTTTGCTAACTCTCCAATTTCTTCATTCACTTCAAGGTTACCCTCAGAATTTGATGTAGGTAGGCAATGTTCTTTTTCTTTGGGCCTTCCATTCACAGAAATTCTGTGGAAATGTTTGTTTCTCTTTTCTAGTTTACTGGACGATGCTCTCACTAACCTGGACAGGAAGACCACCCGCCTCTATTTTGTCTACAGATTTTGTATTCAGGGATAAACGTATATCACTAATACTTTCTAAAATGCCTACTCTATCTTCTCATTCAGCACACCAATCATTCTGGGTCCCATCTTGCTCAGGAGGTTTCTAGCATTCACATGCTAAGAATAATACCTACACATTGGCATGATTCACACATAACAACAGACTATGGTTTGTCATTACTGGACTGTGCCTGGGGAATCCTTGCCACATATGTTCCCTTGTCCTTCTCCCACAGTATGGTTGAGCAATAACATGATGTAAAAGCAAACCATGTTTTTTTGTCATTTTCCCCCAAATCACATCTATGGTTTGTTCCCTGTATCCAAGCCGCTTTTTATTTGTTGCTTGGAATCCTGGTTTGGAGAGTGGGGGAAAAGTCACAGCGATAGTGATATGGACAAAATGACAACATTAGATCTCTTACCTGTGCCTGAGGGGAGGGATAGGAAGGTATGCAAAGCCCAAGAATTCCTCATGCTCATTCCCAACATTGTGAACTGACATTTGTGGAATCTTGACATTGTACTCCTTTCCACAGGTTTCTTTACATGGTTGTGTCATTTCCTTCTTATTACCAAGCTCTATCCTGCCCACAATTTAGATGGCTAGGAATGTTTCCTACAGGATCCCTTGGGGGTGAATTATCCCAGCTCAGATACTCTGAAGTTCCTGTTAGTTTTCACAAGAAGTTGGTCTAAAGGCTTTTCTTGCTATGAAGCACAGACAGCCACTTTGACGGAAGCCTCTCTCTTCAACAGGCTGGACTTGTCACAACATTTCCCCAGTGTCTGACAAATCTAAATGTCCCCCCCCCCAAATACCACCATTCTCATGCATAACCAAGATCCCTCATCCCAGCTGGTCCTGTGCGTGGAACAGGAAATATTTCTGTGGAGGCTACCTAGGATGTCCTGCACTTTTACATCCTACTAGAAAAATCCAGAACCTCATAGCTATTTTCCTGAACATCATTGGGGCCCACGTAGTACAACAGTAAGCTCCTCCCCACACCAGCTATGCAAGGTCTTCATCCTTCACACCTGGCAGGCTAAGTCTACCTGTGGCCAACAAGCCTACTGGAAACTCATCTAATTCTCTAGTGTTTGTGTACTCTTCACACCCAATTGTGGGCACATTTTCTCACACTGCTCATGAGTACAAATAACACAAAGTGACCTCGAAATTCTCTTGCTATTTAGCTGGCCCACTATGAGGCCACACCAGAATCAAAAGTATTCTTCATGGGCTGCAACTTTGTGCATCAGCTAATGTTCCCATTTTCATCTCTTGATGCTTTTAACTTCTTACATTCAGAACAATGGGACCCCCCCCCCCCCCTCCCCAGGGCAAACAGAATCCTCGTGTTGACCCACAAA